GGAGTGACGATTTATTTAGCTTCTTGGATGGGTTTGGGAGCTTACATGACCCGACCTTGATTGCCAAATTTCAAGGATGCTCCGCACGGGAGCGCAATTTGAAACGACAAATCAACATAATTTTGACTATGCCCCGCACGGGAGCGCAATTTTTCACAATTTTCAGGATGTTCCGCGCTGGAGCGCAATTTTGAATGACAAACTCTGACAAACCAACGAATTTTAGGGATTCTTCGGCGAATGAGAGCTCAATTTTCATCAAAATTTCGGGGTCGGGAGCGTAATTTTGGACGACAACTCAGCCGAAATTTAGGAATGCTTCGCGCGGGCGTCAATTCCAAACAGAGTTCTCAGGATGCTCCACGCACCAGCGCTCCCGCCTGCCCAAAACAGTGAGAAGGGCGTCGGTTCCAGACAGAATTCTCCGAACACGCCACGCGCCAGCATTCCCGCCCGCCGAGACCAGCGGGGCGGCCATCAATTGCAAACCGATTTTTAAGGACGCCGCGTGCGCCAACTCTTTCACCCGCCGACAACAGCGAGATCGAGGGTCGTTGATCCAAACAGAATTCCCGGGGCGCTCCGTGCGCCCAAAACAGGGAGAGGTTCGTCGATTCCAAGCAGCATTCGCAGGACACTCCATGCCAGCGCTCCCACGCACCCAAAACAGCGAGAGAGTCGGCCATTCCAATCAGAATTCGGCCCCTCGAAATGCGCTCGCTGTGGCACCGCGCAAATTTTCAAGCTCGCCGGCGAATGCAGGGATTCGGTCCCTCGAAACGCTCTCGCTGTGGCGCCGTGCGAAATTGCAACGTTGCCGACGAAATTGCGGCGATCGCGCGTGTCGAAACACTTTCGCTGTAGCACCGTGTGCGAATTTTCCATTGCCACTGCATGGGGGAAAATGAACGCGGCCTGTCCCACTCGCCCCACTCGCCCCCACTAGTCCTCGTCGCTCCACTCGCCCCATTCGTTCGCCCCACTCGCCCCACTCCTCAAGTGGGTCAAGTGGGGCAAGCCCACTCGCCCCACTCGTCAAGTGGGTCAAGTGGGGCAAGTGGGGCAAGTGGGTGAAATGGGTCAAGAAGGTTAAGTGGGACAAGTGGGGCAAGTGGGTCAAGTGGGTCAAGTGGGGCAAGTGGGGCAAGTGGGTCAAGTGGGGCAAGTGGGGCAAGTGGGGCAATTGGGGCAAGTGGGGCAAGTGGGTCCAGTGGGTCAAGTGGGTCAAGCGGGTCAAGTGCAGCAAGTGGGGCAAGTGAAGTGGGTCAAGTGGGGCAAGTGGGGCAAGTGGGTTAAGTGGGGCAAGTGCCACTCTCGAATTTTCAACATCACGGACAGGCCCTCTCCCTGGCGCGAGGAGCGTCCTCAGAGCACAACCTTATCCAAAGGAGGATAGAGCCCAAGCTCCAGCTTATTCTAATGAGTTTCTATGGAATCACAAAAAACACCCGCAAGGAATTGGAGCTTCCACTTCTCTCAAGTCAAGTGTATCTCTCTTGATCCTCATTGTGGAGAAGAGACCGCTATTGCGTTCGTAGGAGCAGAGGTTTGGCTCCATCGGTAACCGAATTAGTGAGTTGTTGGTTCCCCGCAGAAAGTTCGCCGGCGAGCTTGAACATTTGCACAGCGTCACAGTGAGAGCGTTCCGATAGGCGCGATCCATGAGAGGGGCGCGTCCCGCGTACCCCTACCAAACCCACCCCAGGCTAAGACATAAGATAAACCACAATAGAGGCGGTGTAGGTTATCTGGTGTGCATGGTGCGCTTAGGCGCTGTGGTGTATGTGGGTGGTGTAGGAGCTGTGGTGCATGTGGTGCGGTGTAGGTGTTGTGGTGTATGTGAGCGGTGTAAGTGCTGTGGTGTACTTGGTGCAGTGTATGTGAGCGGTGTAAGTGCTGTGGTGTAAACAAGGCAAATTTTCTTTTTCGAGGAACCCTTCGTGTTGCCTTAGGGAAAAAGACGTATCGGACAAGTTTGCCTGGCAAATTGCAAGCGTATCGGCCTTGGCCCTGCGGACCCGGGCCCATTCTGATCGCAACGTGATTAAAAAGCATATAAGCCGTCCGTCGCTGGACACTTCGCAACTTGGATTTGCAAACGTATGAAACAAAGTGTCTGAACTTGTTAGGTTTTTTACGTGCATTTTGTTGACGTTATCCCCCGTTTGCATGCCGTGCCATGCCCGTACACATGTAGCTAGGCTCAAAGCCAAATCACAAGTGCAGGGGTTTCTTTTTAAAACACCAACCCTCCATGCCCTGGAGAAGCATGCTCGCACAAAGCTCACGCAAGAATTTGGCAATCACGCAGGCTTGCGCTGCGCATTGCGCAGTGCGCAGCGAGAATTACCATAGCGCAATAGATAAGTTTCACCGGCCCGGTCCGCATCGGCCTTGACCTTGCGGACTTGCGGCTATTCCAAACACGTTGGGACTAAAGTGAAGAATAGTTGATGTTGTGGTGCACTTTACAACGTGGTTTTGCAAACGTGGGAAATACAGGGTCCGAACGCCAACAGCACGTGCGTATGTTTACAATAAACGTTGTGGACAGTTTCACATGAGCAGTGCGTAAGGGAAGCGCTTGCCAGCTCATTGTGAAGTTTGAGCTACTTCATGTTCGTGCTCAAACCAATTGTTTTGTAAGCGTGTATACGCTTTCATGCTATGCCAAGTAATTGCGTTTGATGGACGTAAACCTCTAGGTCAATAAACATATGTGAGAAAGCCAGTGTATTGATACGGGTAGGCATATTTTTGACAGCTCGACACAGGGTTAAGGACACAAACATACACAAACACATCCTGGCGCGACTCGTGTGTGCGTTTCCAAGCTTGGGGTTCCATGGCAAACAGAGACATTGCCTTCTTATTTTTGCCATGGCAGACGGCGACACTGTAGCATTGGTGTTACAAGCACGTCACCGTCAGTGTGTGGAGGAGTTATTTGATGATTACGCGGACGATTTCGATGAACATTTGACGTCTCTCGGATACGAAGTTCCCAAATTCTTGCCATCAATCTTGCCCCGCGAATGCTTCCGACGGTGCATAGACTTGGGGTGTGGTACGGGGCTTTCTGGTGTGTCGCTTCGGAAATGTTGTGATCGTCTCGAAGGTGTTGACTTGTCTTCCCGCATGGTTGAGAAAGCCTCCGACAGAGAGATCTATGACGACCTGCACTCTGCAGACTTGATAGCGCACCTGCGAAAACAGACGGCAGGATCCTGTGATCTACTGGTTGCCACGGACGTTGTGATGTATCTGTATCATATAGAACCCTTCATCCAGCAAACCAAGCGTGTTCTCTCCGCTGGTGGTATTTTGATTTTTTCCACGGAATCTGCAACTGATGAGGAGGCGCCCCAAGGTGTTGTGGAAAGAGCTTCAGAACGTTTCGCACACTCCCGAAGCTTTATCTTGAAGTTGGCAGTGGGCTTCAAGCTGCTGAGCGTGAAAGAAGTGAACATTCGTAAAGATGGCGCTGCTGGGCAAGTCGTTGGAAGCTTGGCACGCACCATGCATCCCTTGTGTGATCTTGTGCTTTGGTTTTGCATGTTATGCTTTAATTATTTGTAGGTCAATGCTGCACTTTCACCAGGTGATATTTTGATATTTGAGCGGTCTGGCGAACACGACCTCTAAGCAATGTTCGACTTGTGAGTGCCCTCAGTGCATAGCAACAGTATCAGGTGACACAACTGCTGCAAGTTCGAAAATTCACTGATGAACGGTGTTCCTTCAGTTTTGCAAAGATTCAGTTGCAGCACAAGATGCTTATTTGGAGTCGCTTAACGTCGGCTTGTGGATGGATTGCAGAAGATACAACACAATCTCACTTTTCATTCAGGCTTCGTTTGCGCGTTGCTTGTGTTGACCTTCAGGATTGTTGGGCATGAGGTTGAAGGTACAAAACAAGTGACTCATTTGGGTGACCTGTTTCTGGGGCCATGCCTTGAAACCTGTTTCCAGCCTCACAGAGTCAGAGAAAACTAGTTGTCAGGTGTTTAGCTACAATGTTATACGTGGTTTTGGAAACGAGAAAGCTCAAGCAACCAAGTTTAAGCCGAACCTGATATCATATGGTGTGGCATTTTGGGCCTGGATTTCTGGTGGAAATAAACATGATGGGACAAGCATGATGGGACACCACAGCCCCAGAATATGATGTTCCTTTCTGTTTGGAGTTTGAGATCACTTTAGACCACTCAGTCGAGCAAAGTTCAGCAAAGGAGTGACGCTTCAATCATGTCCTTGCACTGAGACCCACTGATTCAAAGCTGCCATGATTGCCGATGCTTGCATTTCATCTCAAGCAAGACCAGTGGCATGGACGTCAAGATTTGTTGAAGACGGCGGTGTTCTCAGCACATGCTACGAATACATCTCTAGGAGAATCCCGGAGTAGCAATGGCGACTAGCAACAATGCGGCCATTAATAAACGTTCTCCAACTACCATTTTTGTTGTTTGTTTTCATCTTCAAGGTGGATGCATCTAATCACTATGCATCCGTAAGGGTCTCTACCAGTACCGACATCTTGAGACATTGCGAAAGCCTGTTTTCTTCTGGATTGACCTCAACATGGGTTCCGGAAGTTCAGCTTCCAAGCCAGGGGCCAGGATCAGCTGCAAGTTGCGAACACCTTCTTGTTGTCCAGCTTTTCCTTCTCCGTATGAGCTGTTAGTGTTATTACCACCCTGCATGTGTTGGGTTGATCAGCAGCATGATGGTTATCCATTCTTGAGTTTTGATGCTTGAGAGCAGGTTCTTGGCAATATTATGTTTTGGCGCGAAGACGGAGGGTTTGGAGCCAGACGGGGTCATGTGCATCTCCCTAGTTTCTCTTTGCTTCAGGCCTATGTCATGCCAAAATCTCCCTATATAACCCTTATATAGCCCCATTATAATAGTTTCCATTTTCTCTTAGGAAAAATCCTAAACCCTAAACTCTAAACCCTAAACACCCCTAATCCTGCAGGTACCAGCCTTCACCTGAGATGATTGTGCGCAAACGGGTGCCGGACACCAGTGAGGGCCAGGCTGGGATCTGCCTGATTGTGGACTTTGGGGGAATATACCATAATGTACCATCATCTACCATAATATACCATAATATACCATGATATACCATAATATACCATAATATACCATGGTATACTACAATATACCACTATCTACCATAATGGGAGTTTTTGGCAAAGTGCGCCTGTTCGTAGACAACGAAGACACAGCGCCGTCAAACAAGTTTGGCCGCATAGTAGATTCGAACTGCAAGCAAGTGCAAGTGCAAGGTTCCATTGAAGTACTTGAGTGGGGGTCGTTCATGGCAGGCTCAGATTGCGCATCATCTGTGACATTGAATGATATTATAGTATATTGGGTTATATTGGGATAATGGAGAAGAAAATGGAAACGGTAGGGTTTACATCGGGATTATATAAGGGTTATATAGGGATTATAGGCGGCACTGTCACGAGTACCTACATGACAGGAGCCTTCATGCAGCAGCACAGCGGCCACAGCTGTTGAGACGCACGGCCGAGGCGCCGCTGGAACCTTTATTACCATTGTTACCATTGTTATTATTACTACCATTTGTATTTCTTCTTCTACTATTGCTGCTGCTACTACTACTACTACTACTACTACAGGATTACTTTCACTATCATTAGTACCATTATTACTATGGCAATTGTCAGCGGGCTTTGCACCAGGTGCAGACTCTGCGCCTGTCAGCTATCGTCATAACGGCCGCAGGCACGCACTGCAAGCTGCACGGGACGGTACGAAATGAATGGTTGAAAGGTGCGTTGCCATGTTTGAGTTCGCTCAGATTACGTTGAATCCTTTAAGAGACCCCTGTGCAGATTTCTGCGTGCCAGATTGGCTAGGTTTGTTCAGAGAAGAGCTGGGGTACTCAGAGCTTGCAGAACTTTAGATGCCCTGAAGACAGCATCCCTCTTAAACATGATCCGTTTAGCCTTCTCATGCAAGGCCCGCTCTATTTGAGGCAACACAAATTGGTAAGAGGCACCATGATTCTGAGAACCTCCCGTGGCAATTTATACACAAGAAAAGGACCAAGAATCGAGAAAATCCAAACTTGCTTTTGTTTCCTTGCCCTGTCTCAGGAAGCCTTCGACTTCCAGGGTGGTACCAGGCAGGTACCTTGAGTGATCTTTGGGAGACAGTGGTTGTGAGGTGGTTCTAGGACTGTCTCGACAGGTCTTTGCTGGATTACACTTCTCTGTGATTTAAGAATTGTACGGCCCATCTGGGTACTGCTTTATCATTAGCAGCTGGACAAGGTTTATAATATACCTATATAGAGCCCTCAGTAGAACTCTGCTGTGGGCTGTTAATGGATGTCGTCAGGACCCAAAGAAGCATTTCCACTCCACTCTTTCCAGGTTGCAGCCCCTTACCCCCCCCCCTTAAACCCAAGTTCTAAAGCCTAAACCCTCAAAGGGTTTCCAAGGACCTGTAGGGTTATCAGATGGTTAACCCAATCCAAACTCTTAGCCCTGGGGCAGGCGCGATTGCGTCCGCCACGGGCCCGGGACTGCCACAAGCCGAGGTCCCTCTTCGCAAAGAGCCGAGATATGAGAAGTGGCCGGGGGGTTCTCAAAATAGTGGACCTGCAAAGAACCCAAGGATACATTGTGCTTGTAGGAAGGTTCGGGGGATCCTTATCCGTGAGCACGTAGAAATTGCTTTGCGAAACTCCCAAAAGCTTCTCTCGACCCCTTTCCCTTTACAGAGAAGCTTGTTGTAGAGAGACTCCAGGGAGGGAACCATAATTTTTGGGGTTTAGGGTTTAGGGTCTGACTAGGGAATCTAAGCCCTAAACCCGAAGCGCTGAAAGCTGGAGCTGTGCAGTTGGGTCGGCTTTCAAGAATTTTTCTGGCTTTGGCCATTGTAGTTTCGCAAAACCGTCTCTATAGATTTCCCGATGAAGACCTCCCATAATCGCCACACAATTTTGGTGCATCCCTTCATACTCCAATTTCTGTAGACAATCATAGTCATAGTAAGGGCTCACCCAAATTTCTTTGTCTTTAACCTGTTTGGGGATGTATCACCATGGGAATTCTCCTGTGTATGGGCGAAATGTTGTAGAATCCTGGTAGCAGCATGCTACAGCAGGAGCCTTAGTTCGAGAAATTCACTCGAAGCAGTTTTTCAATGGAAAGACTTCTATCCCCCATAAAGACTAGCATACAAGAAGAAAGACCAGACTCTTACTTGATTCAGCAACTCCAAGAAACCCGCTCTGGGTTCAATGTTGAAGTTTGTTGCGAGGTTGGAGAAGGGCAGGAGCTTCCTCATGATTGGCGGGCGAAGTGGGAGAGGCAGCAGACGTTTTGCCAAAACAGGGCAGTGCCACAAAGCTACTGACCTTGCTCTCCTGAAGCGCATTGGGGCTGCTCAAGGGTACCTCTTATATGTACCAGTATACTTTTTATTCATGTTTTTGGGTACTAAACCAGGGATACCTTGTTTTTTGAAGACCGCCAGTTATGTGTGACACAGAAAGCCGTCTTTTTGTTCAGTGCATGCTGTGGGGATGTCCTGGCTTTGAGAGCAAGTCTTTTGAGAGCAACAGGGACCCTTGATCTTGCACATGAGCTATAGTCCAAATTCCTTAAAGTGGTTATGGTTGTATACGGGGTTTTATATATGTGTATATTATAGGGGAGAATTATAGGGGTTACTAAGGGCGATGTTGGGAGTTTAGACTATGGCTCACATGGTCGTCTGGAGGAGTGTGCTTTGTGAGGCCAGCCGCTGTATTCTCCGTGCGTGGCGCTGCTGGCCCGCGATTCCTCCCCCCGCTCAGGCCGGAGTCACTCTACCTTACTGGTTCTTATTAGGGTATAGGTGTAACATAGGGATGATGGAAAAGCAAACGGAACAGAACATGGAAATTACTATATTATAATAGGGTACATGTTGGGGTTGTAGTAGGGTATTCGGGAATATTTATGAAGGGATTATATTCCTTATGACTTATTTCCTAGTAACAGCCAGTAAGCTACAGTTTGGGAGAGGAGGTGCGGTTTCGGGCAGAGATTCGACGAAAATGGTCCTTTGCGTTCATGCGGTTCATGGCATAAATGGTCCAGCAGTGTCTTTGGCCTCCGAAACGTGTTGTGTGGGTCCGAACGTTTGCTTCCTAGCTGTCTCCAGGTCCTTCCCCAAAAAGTTGCGCTGGTAAGCCAGAGGTGCCCATGATGCAGAGAAAGAATGACTCCTGAGGTCGACAAATGGTAGAGCCTTGCCACACGCATCTCCCGAGAGCCTGGCATCCACTTCTGCAGTGGGGACCCCAAATCTGTGTCCTTTTGTGTGGGGGTGTTGGCCCTCTGTAGAATATTTGAGGAGGGGTTGTTGAAGGACCAAGGGGTCATGACATCCTGATGGCATCAGTGAGCCTATAGAACCTAGTATTCTGGTTTTGACAAGCCAGAAAATGCTCCAGCACTAGAATGGCACGAAAGTGTGCAGTTTTTGGCATGGCAGGCTTGGATTCACAGCTGTGGGCTGTCGTTATTCCTTGCGACCCGTGCGCCATTAGACAGTGGAACAAGGCCTTACAAGAAACTCCTAAATCCTAAATTCAACTCTCATGTATTCCCGTGCATCCATATGGGTGGTTGTCAAAATTATGATCCCTTTTTGGATCCCCAATATAATACGGCACCCAATATTCAGGGTACCCGAAAAGGGACCATAATTTTGACAACCAGCCATATGTATCTCGTACAGGCTTTCTCTGCGGTCTGGTGCCGGGATTTTTGTGAACCTTCCTTGCCTGGCAGTGTTGCGTACCAGACTGTTCTGGCTACCACGGGGGGTTCTTCGAGCCTATGATAAGGATTCACAGATTCGCACATACTGGAGTCTATGTTGGGCTCCCTTATTTCTGGAAACTCCCAGATGTTCTTGTGTCCAGCATCATTCAGGCTTAAGACTCGATTTTTGGGCTTCAGTGGTTCCTGTTTGCAGTTGTCTAGGCGGAGGCCAGGTGCCTTATCCGGGCGTTCATGCTAAGTAAGTGGATTCAAGAAGGCCATGGGCGGTAGATGCATGCAGCTATGGATTGCAATGATGGTGGTGATGATTACAGCCCTTCTTGTTGCAATGATGGGCTTCATTGATTTTTTAAACCGTGATTTCGTCTCTTCTTGCACCCTAAACCCTAAACCCTAAACCCCCTAAACCCTAAACCCTATGTGCTCCATGTTACCATTCCCCAAGGTGGCACGCATGGCTGCAGAATATTGGCGTAACGAGCAGCGTGGCACAGCGCTACTCGGGCTCCGAAAGCCGGGTGTAAGGAAGACCTGAGGTGGACCCCCCACCCAGTAATAGTGACTATAGGGGATAATAGGGATCATATTAGGGTCCTCTTATATTCCTTATATACCACTAGTACAGGGTGGGGGGTTTTTCTAAGGAAGACCCCGAGCCGTTAAATCCAAAGCCCCTGAGTTGTAAAGGGATGTCTTGAAGCGGAGCAGGTATCTTTCGGAACGGTGGCAGGTCATATTACAGGCAGGTTTTTGAAACAGCTTAGCCCTTTAGCATGAGCAGCAGGAGGGTACAATTGTGGGACTCTTTTTGTGGAGTCTTTTTGGGCCGTTTGGAGTCCCAGTCCTATCTCCATAATGTGCCAGAAGCAGAAGATTGGACGGACTAAGCAAAAGGCACTTTTTCCTGCCGTTGATCCATGGAAAGCAGAAAACATGTGGGGGGAGCAAAGTTCTCGTCACTTTTTAGGAATGCTGATGTGCTGGGGGTTTGCATTGTTGACTTATGAATTAGTGCTTCAAAGCTTCCACGCGCCCTTTCCTCGTTCTGCTCATAGTGCAGTCCTGTCGTCTCTTGCGAAAGTTATGCTCCCTACAGACGAGCATGTTGGGGTTGTTCTACATTATGGACCCTTGGTGGGTACCCTGCAGAAAAAGTAATAATATGCTAAGGACCCAAATGGGACCATGATTTAAAACGCCTTTCTACATCTGCAAGTAACCCCATATACCCCTTTATAATATACCCATCTATAACATCTGCATATAACCCTATATATCCCTAACATAACAATGTATAATATGGTAGTTTCCCAAAATAAGGGACCCCAATATAGACCCCAATATACTATAATCCTTATCATTGGGACCCCCCAAAAGGTACCCCTAATCTTGGGAAACTACTATATCTACCGTATACAGCCCAAACGCCCTACGTCATCAGGTTGCCACAAGGTGCTCCAAGCCCAGGCTCTGAGACCTGGACTCTTTTGTCAACTGGAGGGTTCTTGGGTCCCTTGTTGTAGGGTTTAGGGTTTGGGGTTTAGGGTTTTAGGGTTTTAGGGTTTTAGGGTTTAGGGTTTAGGGGTCCCTTGTTGTAGGGTTTAGGGTTTGGGGGAGTCCATTGAAAGGGTTTTACAGGGTGTATATGTATAAGGTTACACAGGGTTACATATGGGGTTTGAGGTTTGGAGGTCCCATCGTATGGAAGAGAACATGGAGGATAGAATGGGCACTTGGAATATGCAGTGGTTCATGAGGATTGGCGTCAGAGACCCACTGAATAGAAGGGCCAGAGAATTTCAGGGCCACAGGGTGGATTCGTTGGTCTACATTGCCTAATGCCATCTCTGTCTTACTTGCAGACGGTTAGCGTGGCCGTAAATACAAGAGCTACAGCATGATGTTTGGGTTTGGGCGGTTGCCCACAATTTTTCTTCAGTGTTGATACAAAAATGCGCTTTCCAGCTTGTCTGCTCATCCACCAGTTTACTCTCGCCCTACATGCCAGATCCAAGCAAGTTGCGCAAGTCTTTTGATGGCGGCCTGCGTTGTTTGCAGGCAGCGCTGCAGGGGCAACGAGCACGACGTACCTCGGCCTGAATCAAAAAGGATTGACAACTGCAGATGCCATTGGGGAATTTCTCAGCATTCGGGTTGGTTTGGGTCCCGTCGATCGGAACTGCAGAAATTTCAGAGGGTTTACCAAAGCGGCCCTCGTATTTGACTGATACTCATTGTCGCACATTTGGACCTCCTCAGCGGGAAGGTCTTTCAGGAAGCTGAGAGTCAACAGTTCTAGCTCCCACCAGCTCTGTATGTCTTGTAAGCGACCTAAGGCAAAGCTGGAATTCTGGGGCTTCACCTTCTTTGAGTTGACTCCTCAGATTCCTTGGGCAGGGGCTGTGTTTCCGCAAGACCGTCTACAGGCTGATTGTCCATGGCAGTGTGGCTGCTGCATACCCTTCATGCAATGCTCTGGAAGCTATGATTGGACAGTAGGTGAAAGATCATACATGAGCCGGCTAGCGCAATGCTGCAGCAAAATTGTGATGTCCTTGGAGAGTGGTGGCAGATTATCCTACAAGCTAAGGTGCGACATCCGGTGGCAACGAGGCGCAGACCTTGGAATCCCAAACATAGCCGTCTCCAAAGCGCCATAATCTAAAGTCCTTCAAAGGGGGTTATATAGGGGATTATAGGAAATTATGGGGGACTATTATAGGGGATATTAGGGGGGATGCTAGGAGTTTAGACCATGGCTCCAATTCCTTTTCCATTGTAGTTAGCAAACTTGGAATTAGCTTGCTACATGGTAGCTTGTTCTTGTCCATCATCAGATTGCCAGTCTGCGGTAGGCGACACGGTAGACATCTTGCTGCGCTTCGAGTGCTCAAGCTAGAGGATTTCAGTGCTTGGCAGATTAAACAGTGGTACAACGTTTCTTCAATCATTGGCATCTTAGCTACACGTAGATGCAGGTTTGGAAACAGATGGATACAGCATCTTCTGTAGCAGTTTTCTTAAGCTACGCCATTCTCTTTATGCTTTTCGGTTAGGGACACCGCCAGCATGGGTGTGCGATTCTTTTTTTGTAAGGAGCCGTAATGAAGTCACGCATTGTTTCTGATGCCGCTCCTAGCGTTGTGCTGTTGCTGCGACGCATTGTTTCTGATGCGCTCCTAGCATTGTGCTGTTGCTGCGGCACCCAGCCCTTGTTGTGGTTGTTGGCAGTACTAAGCTCTAAAGCGTTTTTAGACCTCAAGACCTGCAGCGGAGCGTTAATGTGCTGACCTGAAATCGGCTCACGAATTTGTTGGCAAAGCCTTGGATTCTGAGGTGCCAACATACTCCGGTATCAGATGACATCTGCCCAGCAGCAGAATCAGCAATATCCGGCATTTGAATGTTTGTACAGCATCCCTGCAGCAGAGTACTGCTTGCTGGACAGCATTTGCTAGTTTGTTGACAGAAGAGCTTCAAGCTGCAAAGGGCTCCTGCACGTGAATTCACATGCATTTCGGCACCATGCTAATCCTTCGAGCCAACAGTGTCAGGTTGTTGAACAGCCGGCAGTAGTAGTTTCCATTT